TATATATATATATATATATATATATATATCTATCTATATATATCTATATATATATATATCTCTATCTATATATATATATCTATCTATCTATCTCTATATACATAATAAAATAACGTATTGAACCCGTATAGTTTAATATGAGGTACTGAGTATTTATTCATGTACTGTTAACTTTAAATGTACTATATAATTAGACTTTAACATTTGACTGTTTTACTATGATCAGTTCATTCTGTGTTGTTTTTTATTAATATAATTTATGATAAATAAAACGAGGATTAAAATGATTTTTATTGACCGTGAGACTACGCTCTACGCTGAGTCAAATGATCAATACGTTGATACTTTGGTACATTAATCTGATTACAGATCTAAAAACATGTTAATCCTTGAAGATTGTTAATTATTATTTAGTGTTTTAGTAGTTGTATCCAGTTCATGATTAATAAACTAGTTAGATAATTCATTTAGAATAATTGCTTTATGTTCGATCCTTAAATTCTTTAAACATTGAAATGTTCTGTACATTCTTTATTATATTTATGAATTAATATGTATTCCATTGATCAGTCTGCAGCTGTTCTAAATATTAATTTAGCCTAATTTATCCTGGTTCCCTAGAAGAAGAAGATGAGTGGAGGACTGAACAGCATCGATGCCGTGAAGAAGAAGATCAAAGTGCTGCAGGAGCAGGCGGAGGAGGCCGAGGACCGAGCCGTCAGACTGCAGAAGGAGGTGGAGAAGGAGAAGAGGAGCAGAGAGGAGGTGCACACACTCTCACACACACGCATACACCTGTCCAGGTGATGGGGGTCTGTCAGGTTGTGTCACATGCCATACATACCTGTGTTGAAAGAGTAATGTGAGGTGTTTCTAGTTAAAACACACACACCTGAGACAGGTGAACCTGACCTGTGGGCTGTCTCCTCCCTGCTGTGTGTGTTGCAGGCGGAGGCAGAGGTGACGGCTCTGGGTCGCCGTCTGCAGCTCAGCGAGGACAATCTGGAGCGAGTCCAGGAGAGACTGTCCACCACCCTCCACAAGCTGGACGAGACGGAGAAGTCTGCCGACGAGAGCGAGAGGTCAGACGCACACCTGAGACACACCTGGAGGTTTTGTTCCTCAAACGAGGGGAGACAACTTCATCAATAACTCTTCATCTGCCTGTCTGCCTGTCTCCCTCTCAGAGGTATGAAGGTGATTGAGAACAGAGCTCTGAAGGATGAAGAGAAGATGGAGCAGCTGGAGGTTCAGTTGAGAGAAGCCAAGCTGATCGCTGAGGAGGCCGACCGGAAATATGAAGAGGTACGAAAACAACATGAGCAACGATAAGTCCACCTTTTCTCTCAGTAGACATGTTGTCTTATTTCTATGAACGTGTTGGACAAGGTGGCTAGCTTTTCAGTCTCCAGAGCAGGCTAATTAGCTGGCTAGCATGTCCATGAGTCGCGTCCATGAGTCGCATCGGACGGTGCGTTTCTGATTTCTTTCTCCGATGTCTTTATCTTTGTTTTGACCAACTTCCTACCAGTAGTGGTGCCTCGTTAGCTTTGTCGATAGTGTTGTATTTATATACTGATGCTTCTCATGCTTATGTAGTTATACATATACTTCTTATGCTTGTGCTGTAAAACTTCTGTGTTTGGTTGACAGGTGGCTCGTAAACTGGTGATGGTGGAAGGTGAACTGGAACGAGCTGAAGACAGAGCTGAGCAGGGAGAGAGGTCTATAACACACACACACACACCTGTGTATGTCTAACAGCTGCTTACAGCATGAAGCTTAGTTTCAGTTCTACACTCGGGTGTTATGAAATATATTCTGGTCTATAATATAATAACGTGTACATTTATTAGTTATATCTAATAATAACTTCAGTTAGTTCTTGTTCTTCATCAGTGTGATGTCAAACCGATGACCTCGGCGTGATGTCTCACTGCTTCACTAACGACGCTCTAATCTTAACTGCATCCGTCTTTCTCTTCCTCTGTTTACATGGAAACATGTCGCTGCTGCTGCTGCATGTCTACCTGTCCTCCTGTCTACCTGTCCTGTCCCATGCACCCACGTGTCTCTAACAGTAAGGTTCGGAGGTTGGAGGAGCAGTTGAGGAGTTTCGACCAATCACTGAAGAGCCTGCAGGCGTCTGAGGACAAGGTACCCCCCCCCCCCCCCACCTGCTGTCAATCAAACCAGAGGAGCTCCTCCTCCTGACCTCCTATGACCTCTAGTTGCTGCTTCAGCTCCTGCTCCTGCTGCTCTCTGCATGACTTTAACCTGCTGCTCCTCATGACCTCTGAACTCTCTGAAACAGACCAGACACAAAATAACAACTCACCTGTTTGACCTGCAGTAAGAGTCGAGGGTTGGAGGAGGAGCTGAAATCAGTCTTCACTAGTTCAAAGTCTCTGGAGGCCCAGACTGAGAAGGTAGGAGGAGGAGGAGGAGGTCCTTAAACACTGGTCACATGACCACAGCACACAGTGAGATGTCCGTTCTACTCGTTCTATGTGTACGGTACGCCTGTTAGCTGAGCTCTTTACGCTCGCCTGTTAGCCTGTTAGCTGAGCTCTTTACGCTCGCCTGTTAGCCTGTTAGCTGAGCTCTTTACGCTCGCCTGTTACATTGTGTCAGTGAAGAGTGACTTACAGACCTGAAAGTGTAAGGGAGGAACTACACAATCAGAGGTGTCCCGTTACCTGCTGTTGTCCGTACACCTGGTTCTCTGATTGTCTGTCTGTCTGTCTGTCTGTCTGTCTGTCTGTCTCTCAGTATTCTCATAAGGAAGACAGGTATGAAGAGGAGATCAAGAACCTGAGCAACAAACTCAAGGAGGTGAGACACTTATTTATTGTTCTGTATGAACTTGAACCGTTCTCTCATGTAAATATCTTTAAGAGAAACCAACTGGTTCACTTCCTGTTTGCAGGCTGAGAGCAGAGCTGAAGCTGCAGAGCGTTCAGTGGCCAAACTGGAGAAAACCATCGACGGCCTGGAGGGTGAGACGGCTTCATCTTCTTCTTCTGTTAGAATAATGATGGAAACCTGGAGATGTATATTTGTTATGTAGAAGCTTTATTCTGTGACTCATTTGGTTCCAGATGCTTTGACTTCAGCCAGAAACGCCAACATGGAGCTTCAGGCGACTCTGAATCAGACCATGGAGGAGCTCAACTCCTGCTGAACACGCCCCCCCTACCAGACAGGTGGACGGCAAAACTCCGTGGCCAAAACATTGCTCCCACCTTCTCTCCTCCTTTATGTTGGAGGACAGGGTCCAGCTCCCCCCTGCTCCTTTCCTCCCCTTCCCTCCTCCTTCCTTCACCTCCTTCTCTCCTGGTGGATGTGAGGGAGGTCTCCCCCCCCCCCCCCCCTAAATGATTCCTGCTTTCACACATTCCTTCTGATTCATAAAGTCACATATTGGGAGTGTTGCTTTAATGAGCTCCTCGTCTCTGCCCCCCTTACCTGCTCACAGTGCCAACCCTCCCCCCCCTCAGTATTAAGTGAAGGAGCGGCTTGATATACTTTGTCTATAAGGGACTTTAACAGACTTGCATTCGTTTCCTCGTTAAGAACTAATCAAGGACTAATTACATGTTTGTCTTAACGGTTTGTTTTCTTTTGCCACATTAACTAATAATCGATTAGACCCAATGAGTTATTATTGTTTTTGTTCTTGGGGGGCGTGGTTTAAGGTAGCCAATCACCACGAGGCATTCCACTGCCACAGGTGACCTTTGACCCGATGACGTGAATGAATAAAGTTTGTTTTTACCTGGAGCGGTGATGTCACAGCTCATTGTAATAAATCATGACAGGATTTTATAAAATAAAAGCACCGTCACTGGTTTGTAGATCCAAACTGACTCTGAGCTTTTATTTCAGTTCAAATAAATATTGAACAGCTGATAACAGGTAAACACTGTTAGCTGCTAGCCGCCGCCATGTTGAAAGCCGTGTGGAGTCAATCCCTCAATCGTAGATCTGCTCTGAGTCAACTAATCACATGTACTTCTAGTTTCACTTCATTGATCAATCAGATTAGTTCTATATGAGACAGGTGAGAATCTCCCATGAGCCTTTGCTTTGAGTGATGTACCTGAGACTTGGAAAACTTTATTGATCAGATAAACTGATCGGCTCCACATTCATCAGTTACCAATACATTTATTGATCCGTGACAGAGTGATGATGACGCTGCGTCCTCAGCCAGCTTCATGATTGGTTGCAGCTGCTCTTCTAACGAGGGGGCGTCGGTCTCGTTAGTGACGATCCAATCGAAGTCAACCCCGCTGTCCAACCCGCACTCTGACTCTGCATCGTCCACACCTGAGAGACAGACGGGTGAACAGAGACGGGCAGAGCGACAGACATAAAGGTAAACAGACAAACGAGGGATCTTACCTGCAGAGAAGCTCCACCCCCTCTGTTTGCGTGTTTCTTCTGAGCTTTGGACTCTGACACTTTGAGTCTGTCGGGGAAACTCGGACCAGAACCACTGAAGGTCTGACAGCCTCCGAGCATCACTCACCACCTGACCAATCAGAGAGAGCATCACTCACCACCTGACCAATCAGAGAGCTGCTTCTCCGCTCCCCTTTTTACCATTTTTATCCAGTTGTCTCCACGTTTTATGCTAAACTTTGTAGATCCTGGTTGTTTTCATGTTCTAAACTATCTGTACGATGTCAGCCAACACGTTGTAGACCTTTTAATTGTATGGCTTGTTATTGGCCTTCAGCTGTGGTGCTGGCTAACGCTAACCACAGATATTTATATTGTCTTTGTCTCCTGACCAACTGCTGACATGAAGCAACAATTCAGAAACATTCCTGAAGACCTCCATGTTCTCTCTGGATTGGCCTCTTCTTCTACTACTGTTTCCTGGTAGATTGAAAACACGTTGACCCGTTTTACGTCACGGTGTTAGCTAAAACACAGTAACCAGTGTAGCATTATAGTATGGTGGAAACCAGCTATCTAACTAGCCACCTAGCTAACTCCACCGCTGCTTTAATGCTACACCGGTCACAGAACGTTAGCCGCCTACGTTGCTAACGACACACTGCAGTCCCCATGGTAACGTACCCACACGGGTTGCCGCGCCCCTCTGGTTGCTAGGCGACAGAAGAATCCGGGGTCCTGGCGTCGCCGGTTTTCTCCCCAAAGAATCATGTCTGCTCGATACCGCTCCTTATAAAGACCAGGACCCAGCAGCTGGTCCAGGTCCAGACAGTGTTCCTGTAGAACCACCAGCATGACTCAGAGGTGTGTGTGTGTGTGTGTCTGTCTGTCTGTCTGTCTGTCTGTCTGTCTGTCTGTCTGTCTGTCAAGGGCGTAGGTTTGCATAGGGACTAGTCACGACCAAAGTTTGGGAAAGACACAATTGTCCCCACCAATATTTCCCCACCAAATTCACGGTAAACGCATTTGAACGGCACAGATCGGGAGCGAGCGAAGGACTTTAAAAGTTAGCGGAAAGATTAACGTGAGACAACATCCGGTTTCTTCAGACGAACATCCGGTTTTCAGAATAAGATGCCAACAAAGTATGAATTATATTCACATTAAGTATAAAACATGCTACCTGCATCTCCTGAGCTAAATTGTGGGTAAAGTGTCTTTATTCTTTGATCGCTGGGTCACCATCATCACCTCTGAGTTACAGCATCATAGTGATGAA